CAGCTAGATTGATATTGGGGACATTTAAGGGAGTATCGAAGTACACATTTCGAGAAAATGTGAACATTTTCAACCCTTTTGGGCTTTGGTACATGCTACAAGTTACTTTTATTTAAATAGCACCGCCAATATGGTTGCTAATGTTGCTATACAGCCATACAGGTCATAGATAGACTTTTAACATTTTAATTGCTCAAGCAAAATTATATTTTTTATCTTTAGCATTTTTTTTAAGTGTTTACTCTTATGACTTGAATATGACTACGATGGACAGCAATATGACTTTTTAATTTCATATTCCTAACAGAATATTATTCTGAGTATTTCGATTTATAAAAATCAAATTTCGGACAAGTGCCTATTTTATTAATTATTGTAAGTTATTAATAAATATTTAACCTATTTAAATTATTGAATAGTGAATAGTATATAAAGTGGATCAATATTTTGATGGTAGGTACTCTTGTATACAATCCGTACATCAAAACTTTAAATACTTACGACTCACGAACTATACCTATATGCTATAGTATCTACATATAGGTTATACTGGTCCAAAATTTGATTTTTTATAAAATATTGATGTACCAACTCTCAAAAATATTTTGCTTTAGAAGAAGGAATTAAAAATGCATGTTGCAATGTTGCTGTTAAAAATAGTATAAGAAATTAGAAAATTATAAAGATACAAATTTTACAAATTCTGTTTTTTACAACTAGGAAAAAAAAACATTAATAGTTTTTGAAATAATGATGGGTTAAATCGATCACCCAACAATCGGTACCTATAAAAAATATACTATATATATAATATATATTTAAGACCCACAGTCGGTTCGGTGCAGGGTGAGTGGCCGAGTGGGTGACCTCGTGTGCAGAAAAATCGTTGACGGTGAGTTATGGGTATAGTAGCCGAGTCTAAAGGTGTTCTTATCACGATAATCGGATAATGCGATGACATGATAACGAGTACAGAAGATCGAAACGCAAACGCGTCTTGTCCTCGATGATACTCAGGACAGGTGTCTGCAAGTAAGTAGGACCACAGAACGAGATAGAACTGCAGAGCATGTAGAGCACCTGAATACCAATTAACATTGCCATTTACCAGCTGCGACAGTTTTTTTCTTGTCTTCATTGACAAACAGAGTGCGAAGAGTCGACTCTCGACTTATATCATAATATTCTGAACCCTTAAATCATAATATTATGATTAGGTAGTGTACCACTGTACCTACTAACTTTTACGCACAACAAATATACACTATAAGCTTATGTGATGCACATTTTAAATAAAAATCGTGAAAATATGCAACAATAAATAAAAATATTCAAAAAATAGACACCTATTTTTAAATATGGAAAGAATGTATATACTATATGGAAAAAAAAACGCACTCAAAGGTTAAATCGTTTGTTCTATAATAATTTATTATAAAAATAATTTGACAGTGTCCTACATACATAAAAGATGTAAAGCGAATAATTTTTTTGTGAAATTGCTTGACAATATTTTGAACAATAGAAAGTTCACTTCCTGTTTAATAAACGATAAAATTGATATTTCTTTACCGAAAAACGAAAGGTTTGTAATTTGTAGTCGACAATATTTATATTTTTTTGATTTTCTACTTGATGAAATATTATTACATACCTTTATTAGGTTTTGAAAACGGTATATTATAATAGTTTAATTTCACTTTAATGAACAATAAGTATCAAACTTGTCCACGAAATATTAAAAAATATGCAATATTTACGTAATCATCAAATACGCAAAAAAATTTGTATAATTTTTAAAAATATTTCTCGTATATTATTGTATATGATTATAATGAATACTTTTATGTGAACCTATAATTGGTATGAAAAAAAAAGTTAAATGTGAATTTAAAAAGTAATAGTAGGTACCTACTACTGCGTAGTCCAAAATATATTTAATTATTGTCTCGCGATCAACCCTAATACGTTACCTGAGCACCCAGGGCCGGATTGGTTAGGCGAGTTACCGAGAAAATCTCGGTGGGCCACCTAAAGTTTGGGCCGGTTGTGTGAGTATGAGTGAAAATAAATTCATGTTTAAAATACGATTGGCCAAATATAAGCTCATAATAATTATATTACGTAATCTTTGGGCCTCTGAATATGTAAAGAGGCCGCTTAGTAGTGAAAATCTCGATTAGCCGATACATACCAATCCGACCCTGTGGGCACCTATAGCTATTATGCAGTATGTATACTATACTATGTATATTGTATACCTAACCTACCAATACCTTATCGACGGCTCAATGTATGAGCCGCACCGGTACTTATTCATTAGTATAATAATTATAATAATATTATCGTTGTCGTTATTATATTAGAGTAAGTCCGTTGATTGGAGTCTACGGATATTCTTCTGGACAGGGCTTGGAACCTTTATGATTTTTTCGGTTTCGGTTTCAATTATCGGTTATTCAAAAAAAATGAAAATTTGGTACCGGTTCTTAAAATTACAGAATTAAGGTAAATACCGGTATTTGGAGATATATTTTTTTCAAAAATTACAAATAAAAACCAAGTATAAACTTCACACATATATTATCTAAAATCATAAAATCAAATAATAGTATCCTTATTGGGTTAAAGGACTTATTAAGTTTTCTAAAATTTTGTTTTTTGAAAACATCCAAAACAAATTTTTAAAAATAGGGTGGGCTCATGTTGTTAGATGTCGGTGCATCGTATAATTTGATACAATCAAACACCAATGGTCTCTATAAAAAGTGGTTTTATTTAAATAATAGAATAGAATTTTGTATGATGTGCTGGTGGGCGGTGGCCAAGTGACCAACTTTGTAGTTGTTAATATCATTGTTGTTACCTTATACCTATATTTGTATACTATCGAGTACCACACACAATGGTCAGCACTTTACGACATAACTATTTATATATATAAATAACTGTAAGAGGAAAAAACTTTTCCAATGCTACACTTCAAAATAAGTAACCGACAAAGAAATCGATTGTTGATGAGTGTGATGAGTACTGATGACAACCATTTCGGGAACGGGAACGATATTCGTCAATAGACAATAATATAATATCGTCGTCACTCGTCACCAACCCGGGAAAATGAAAATATATATATATTTAAAATATTTTTCGTCATTTGTTCAAGTATGATCGACTTGACTATCAAATGTGTATTTTTTTCCTACTATAGATACGTGCTTAGTAAAAGCAAACATGTAACATGTTAACATGATAATTTCTTGAAGTTTTATTACGGCCTGAATCCTAGGTCATTTTCGGACCCGAAACACTTGGTCGGAGAAACCGACACCGTCCCTGAAAACCCGGGCAGTTTGGATTTGAATCGATTTTATAGTATAGGTAATTTAAATTAAAAAATGTATTCGCTCAACCCAAAAGTAATCTTAAATGGTAAGATGAAACTGTGCGTGTCAAAGCGTTACCGACCATTATAATATATAATATATATTATATACCAAATAGTTGGTAAATATTTTCGACTACAACTTTCACCTTATAATGACAGAGTTCTATAGTTAAATCCTTTTACCCAAACAACATAAATATTTATTAAATTTTGAATTTGGTGAATAACAAATAAAAACATAATTGAACACGGAGGCAGTGTACTCTCAATCCACAGAATAGATAGTGACATAGTGTAAACAAATCCCATAAATTCATACTAAATAATAACAGTATATAACAGTAACAGTAAATATTAACATGACATTGACATAAATCGTGATTCTGCACCAAGGACCTATCGTCAAGCTTCTTCAGTAGGTACCTAATTTACACAATTAATAGCAATTGGTGCACAACATTTCGGGTGAATGCCTGTCCTATTAGACACAGACTATAGGCGACCTACCCAATACATTTTAAACTAGCTCATTTAACATTACTTATTAATTATAATTTATTTTGTGTGATTGTATAATTGTTTTGTGCAACATCATTTATTGTATAAATGTATAATGTACGCAATTTGTCATTGTACTCTACACAATTTAAAACCTATAGTAATCCTACTATATACCAATGATATCTGATATACGAAAGTTAAAAAAATGTAAATCTTTATAGGTACCTAAGTTTAATTAATTTGATATCAAGAAAACTTTCAAAAAAAAAAAAAAAAAAATCGTGATTAATTTGTTACGTAAGATGATATTATAAATAATTTCGTGTCGATCTCGGACGGTCCATACAGTGAGAAGTCGCCACGTTTTACAATCACCTACCGCGGTTTACGTGTCGTGATAACGACGGTTGTAAATCCACGGACCATTCCCGAGACAATATTAATGCCAAAAAACACAATCGTGGATTTAAGTCCGTTTCAGTTTATAGTCGCACATGCCACATACAATATAAACTGTATTGGACACGTACTAACAATATAATATTATTAATATACCGCTAATACCGTGAACAATAACAATAATATTCTTCACTTCGGTATCGCGCGTTATCAACCGTGCCTGATACAACAAAAACAACAACAACAACATCGACGATACTGATATTATTTTTGTTGTTAATATCATTGTCGTCGTTTCGGCGTTGACACGATCGCCGATCAGACCGCCGCCGTCGTCGTCGTCAATCCGCAGGGTCGTCCGTCCTACTGGGCAGCCCTTTGCGCGCGCACGTGTGCGTTTGCGTGTGCGTGCGCGCTTGTACTCGTCGCCGCCGCCGCCGCCGCCGACTCGACGTGCTCCTTTCGCTCCGACGACGCGCGGCGCTCGTCGTCACACACGGACACCGAACGTTGACGTTCGGACGTGCACGTTATCCTCCGCCGCCGCGCCGTCACCGTCGCCGCCGCCGTTGCGTCCCTTTTCCGACGGAAGCCGGTGGTTGCCGTTATCCTCTGTCCGGTTGCAGCTCGCGTCCCGGTGCTCGCTGCAGCCTCTCTTCGCCATCCGCGCCCGCGAGATCCTCGTCGTTCCTCTCGTGCACTTCTAGCACCGATGGCCGTGCGTGCCCCAGCAAAAAATGTGAGTACGCCTGAACCACCCATATTATTATAGTACTGATATTTGGCGTTCTTTGCTCGGCATGATTATAATATAATATCGTCCGCCACCCCCAACCCCGTGTGCAGGCTGTTACTGGTTTAGTATCTTACCTTATTAAGCTCGACGGTTAAACGCAGCGGGTCGTCGTTCGCTCACCTGATTTTCAATATGCGTCATCGCCACCGTTGGTAGAGGAATTCCCAATTAGTTTTTACAAAGCTAGAATGTTTTCACTTTCGCATTCAAAAAAATCTTTAGATAACTACTTAAAATTTATTATAATATAGGCAATCATAATAGCTTGTTTTAATTGTCTTGTAACTTATTAATACCTATATTTTAACCAAACAAAATATTTTTATGTCCAGGACTGTAGCTGCGAGCAGACTAGCTTACATTTACATGCTGAAATCGAAAATCTAAAACAAAAGCTCTTAGAAAGAGAAAATCACATTGTCAACATGGAGACTAATTTTCTTTGTGAAGCTGAAAAATTTCCCCATGGAGAGTATGCTGCATTAACAGATGAAATATTAATATGGCAAGACAAATATTCTAGGTAATTACTGACTAGTTTTTATTATATTCAATAAAAATGAGTAATTATAACATAATTTTACTATAATGCATTTGGGCCAATTTTATTTTTCATACCTACCTATCTTACAAAATGTATAATAATATATTATGTTGAGTACTTTTAAGTAGGTATGATAATACAAATTACAACTGTTAATGAAAGTTTTGAAAATAGCCATGTCAGTTGATAATATTAGACTGTAATTGGTTATCGTAGACAATTAACCATAATATTATGATGTGTTTTGTAAATAAAATATTTTTTTATTTAGATTATTAGAATCACATAAGAGAGTCCAACGTGTCAACCAAAGTCTTGAAGATAAATTATTGTTACTTGTTGATAAAACTGAATCCGAAAAGAATGTATTAAACTCAGAAATCACAATTATATCACAGAAACTGGTTGACCAACAATTTCAAGTGAATCAATTGAACGATGAAAATGTAAGTTATAGTTGAAAAATCCTGTAAACAATTATTAGGGAATTAATCAAATCATAAATTAAATATTATTACCAAATACCTACCTACCTACTTGATATCCACAACGTTTATATGAACAAAATAATTTAATCAAATAATTTTGGAGGTAGTAATGATACAAACTTAAAACTAATTATAAAAATGAATCTAAATTTACCTAGGTACCTACCATCACAATATTATTTATTTTAATTTCTTTAATTAAGAATTACCTTCAGAATTACTTTTATTAATATTAATGGATAAATCAGAATTAGTTTTCTTATGAACTAATTGACTGTTGAAATTATTAGGATGATTAGGTATGTCAATTATTTGTTTTTTTTTTAAGAACATATTAATATATTATTACTATTATTTTAGATACATTACTTATGTTGTTATTGTAAACCTACTAATCTATCTATGATTAATAATATAACAAATATATTTTTAATATTGTGTGAATTTGTTTATTACAGGAGAGGTATAAAAATGATCTTAATATTGCTATTCAATTACTTCAATGCAAACCATCTCATTTTGTGTCTCAAAAATATGATAATGTAAGTAAATGTAAATTGTAATAGTCATTTTTATGTAACAAGCCTAACTGTCTCTACTTATTAAATATTTAACGATAAAAATTGTAATGAGTTTTATCATCTTAAGGTATTTCATTATACCTATTCAATATATTTTGCTACTTAATCCAGTGGTTCTCATATTTTTTCACAAAAACACAATAACTTAAACACAAATAAATGGTGACACACTCAATATAAATTACCTAATTGTTTTTTTGAAAAAATAACAATTATAAATGTATATTAATTAATAGTTATCATTTTTATTTTCCTTGCTACCATTTTATTCAAAAAAACGAAAATATAAATTAAACAGTTTTACGTAAGTATTTAAATAAAAAAGGTATTAAGTAATTAATGAAAAAAGTCAGTTTGATACTTGACATTGGTAAACTAACCATAGATAGATAAACTTATACTTATCAAATGTTTATTTACGTACTTAAATATTTGAATCTAGGTAAATTACTAGTTTCAAGTCTAAATTATATTTATGAAACACTGTCAATATTGTTTTTCTTATCTATAGTTTTTAACAGTCAACTGTATCATAACACCAAAATAATGTCTTATAGGTACCTAATAACATTTTTCAAACAGTATAAATTTATTTTCACACAATTAATATTTTATACTATTATTCTATGACCTATTAAATTAACAAAAAAAAAAATGTAGTGACTATAGTTTATACATTCGACACGCTGGTTGAGAACCATGGATCTAGTCGTATTACTTAAAAAAAAATATATATATATTTTATGTACCTAAGGTACTTATAACATTTTAATCTTGTAGCATGAATGTACAAAACTGAATATTTTTAGTTTAATAATTAATTTTATAAATTTATAATATTGATATTATGTTTTGTAGCTGCCTGGTGAATTACAATCCAAAGTTCGAAATTATATTTTTAGCAAACAACGACGATTGTCAGATGGTAATGGTAACATAGCACAGAAATCAGAAGGAAAAACTATAAAAGTACCAATTCCTACATTTCCTCCGACAGCAATGGTTTATTCATTGAGTAATGGTAATTTTTAAAATAATTTTTGTTTTTTATTAAATTATAATGAGTGTTAGATTTTTTTTCAATATTAGTACAGTTTTCAAAGTGATAAATTATTGAAGTACAAGATGTTTAGTACAAGAAAAAATAGTTAAACATGTTTGATGTGAGCTATCTTTTTACAAATTGAGATAATTAAACATATGTATACATACCTTACACTTAACAGTTAAACTTAAACTATGTAAATTGTAATTCAATTTTGAATAGATAATTTAAAGTATATATATTATATATTATACAATTTTAAATTAGCTTTGAGTTCATTATAATATTCAAATGAATTAGTTCAAACAAACATGACAGAAATATGTTTAAAATCATTTTAATGTTTTATTTTTTTTTAATTATTAAAAAAATACACTGAACGAGTGCATTGGAGGTTACAAAATTTCTCGGTATGTTACCAAAATTGTTTCATATATACATCCTGGTCACCAATAATAATTTTTGCGTATGTCCTGTTGATTATATTTTAATGTATTGTATCTGTCTGGGTTAATCGTAATAGAAAAATAGAATAGCACAATACCTATGCTTAGGATTTGTTCATTTCATGTATGTATACTGATTGCACTAACTATTCTAAACACAATATCCAACACCAATTAGCAAACATAATTTCAAACATGCATAATGCATATTAATTGCTTTTATCATAAGAAAAATATATTATTATTATTATTTTAGATAAAGATCTAAAGTCATCAAGAGACACCGAAGAAGGATCATCACAACCTGTAAACAGTGTTTCAGCAGCAATCCTGGCAAAAGTCTTAGAAGAAAGAGTCAAAGAGCGGTTAACTCAACGACACTGCTCTACTTGTTCATGTGCTAACAAAACTGGTGACCCTAATACAGACCAACAGGAATGTCATTCACCTCAAACAGACTCCGCTGATAAGCGAATGCGCACCCTCACTAAATATAGTAAACGACCAATGACTGCCAAAAGTTCAGAATCTCTAGTGTCAGAACCAGAATTGTCGTCATATTTTGAAAACTCTGTATCTTTAACTGATTCTTCTGATAGTGGACTAAAATTATCAGCTCGGTCTAGATTATGTTCAGTACGCTTGCAAGAAGGCAGTAATAATATATTGTTAGATAATGCTGCAACACCATATACAGGTCCTATTCTTTATAAAAGTCGTTCCTCTAGTGGTGAGTATGATGAACCTTTAGTGCACGCACAAAAATTGGTTGATCGTAACATCCATGCAAACGAACACACACGCATAATGATTTCAGACGAAGAAATTATTTAAAAATTATACAATTGGTAAGAATATGAGTGTATGTGATTTGTTTGACAATAATTATATTAGGTGATTGATAAAATTAAATATATATTAACCGAAGTATAAATATTAAATATACCCTGTTCAAAATAAGAAACGCAAACTGCTGCGGCAGACAGGTAATACCCGTTTGTCCTCCGCGTCACCAATCTATATACCTGTCGTGTAGTATTGCCACACTACTGCACATAAGTCGGCCTCTGTTTAAGTTTCTTATTTTGAGCAGAGTATATATATGTTTATTATGACGACTTTATTATACATCATTGTTTAGCCTGAAAAATCTCATTTGTACTATTACTATGACACAATTTAAATGCCTGATACAATATTATAATGAATTAATCAATTTACCAACAGAACGATTAATTTAAACTATCCATATTTTGAACCACGAAATTCTAACTTAATTTAATTATGTCTTTATATCAATGAATAAAACAAAATAGCAATCAAATGTTCTTCAGAGAGATTCACCAAGCATAATTCACTAAGCATTTTAAAAACTGAATAAAACTACTTGTTCAAATTTTTCTTTACCTCAAAGTTAATTGAAAATCCCTTAAAAGAATTACCATTACAATAAAACTTTATATCTCAGACTTCTTCTGTTCCATTTGAGTTTTGGTACGAGTTTACTGTACTTACATCAATATTTTCAAAATAAAGATCCACTAAATTAATAACTTATGTTAAACTAGTAGTTTTTCTTTTTAAAAACAAGTTTGTATCACCATTATGTCTAATGCAATACAACAAATCTTACGAAATTGAAAATATGGTCTTTAAGTATGTTTGAAAAGTTTGAATAGAAATTGAGTTATTTCATTGTTAAAGGAAAAATCAAAAAATGAGGTTGAGTGTGTTTGGTGAATCACTGTAAATTAAAATCATTTTTTTTTTCTGTAATTCAATTGTTTTTACCTGACAGATGCTTTTATCCATAAATTATTTATTTTTTATTCTTTTTAACATATTTCATGCTGAATGATGATGATGATACAATTTTTATAATCAAAATCAGACCACAAATTTTCACTCATGTCATCTAAATTTATTGCCAATTTATGTCATCTGGAAAAAATTATAAAATTATATATATACAATATTATAATTATAATAATTTTTATCAACATAAAAAACAACTATTATAACGCTGGAAAATTGATTTACAGGTACTGACCAGACTGCATTATTGTATTTTAAAATATTGGTTTGATTATACTAAAGATAATAATAAAACCAAAAATTACTATTTTACTCTATATTTTATTTATTTAGAAGATAATATATTATGATATGTAATATAATTTTTATAAATGACATTAAAGTGATTCATTTACAAAGTATGAGACAGATTGTGTTGTGTTTATTTCTCTTTAAAGGTTAAAGTATAATACTTACGACAATATATATTAAAAAAAAAATTAGTTACCTGAATTCTTAAAAACCTTTTTGTTTTGTTTACATTTGTTTATATTGTTATAATTTATACATCTAAGGCATTATTATTATTATTTGTTTTTATTTTTTTTATTATATAGTCTATACTTTTGTTAACTTAATGTTTTTGTAATATTTACCTACATAATATAATATATACCCAGCTAATTTATATCACAATTTTAAATTTACACCATTTCACTAGATCCAAAAGTATTCATAAATTGTGATTTGAGTACTGTTATTGACTTGGTATTATGTTCTCTCGATGGTGATTTACAGTTAGGGTACAGTTAGGAATCGAGTGTATTTCATCATTGAGTAGGTCACTGTAATAAATATGTTAAATTTGAAATCAATGAAAAATCATAGTATACAATGATGAATGATTATCTGAACGAATATGGTCTAACTTTTTAGTATGATTATTTTAATAGCATTTTTCAACTATAGGGTGTTCCTATAAAGTAAGTAACTTAAATATGCCACCATTTTTTTAAATTTTGTTGGCAGCTCTGTTTTTATAATTTCTAGCACGGACTAAGATATACAGGACTGGACACGAGATGAATATTGTGGTTACGAAATGTTTTACAACAGGCGGAGTTCGGGGGGGATATTTTCCTTTTAGCATTACTAGCGCCGTCATAGTGGATACTTATGGAACTAGAAATTTGTATGATGTGTTCTAGTTCCATAAGTATCCACTAGGACGGCGCTAGTAATGCTAAAAGGAAAATATCCCCCCGAACACTGCCTGTTGTAAAACATTTCGTAGTCAACCCCCCCACACCCTCCAACCTTGTCGTGTCCAGTCCTGTATATCTTAGTCCGTGATTTCTAGTATCCTATTTAATTAGTAGTTGTTTACATAGACCTATTAACTAATGGACAGCTCATATACGTATAATATGATCTAAGGGTCTCCTTATTCTAGTCTCCATGGTTCTTTCTCTTTCGTATCTCGTCCGCTGGTTTCTCTCTCTAGGAGACCAAACTGAAAAAAAACTTACCGAAATGAGTCGCAAGATCAAACGGCCACAGGCTGCGCTGCGTTCGATAGGGTCGCTACTTTAACCAGCGTAGTAGGTATAGGGATTATTCATGGTTTTTGCGTTTTTTGGAAAATATATGCATTATATTGAACCATGACCCACTTTACATTTTATAGCTTGTACGATTACGCATTTATACATGTGCATAAATGTATATTTCATAAACATGGTATTCAAGAAACAAATTTGAGTGTAACGATACGTCGATACATAATATATCGGTATAGAACAATCGTTCAAGAAAACACGTATATTAAGTATATGTATGGTATATCGAATTGTATCGGGCTCAGGCTTACTGTGAACAAAGATATATAGGTATAAAATAACTAGGTAATATCAGGCGCGCACCCAGAATTTTTGCTTGGGGGGGGGGGCTTAATAATTTTTCTTTTTCCCTTACACACAAGTAAACAATTAAAACTAATTTTTAAATAACCAATTTTGTAAAAAATCGAACAGACCGAATCATCTAAACGAGATTTTCATGCCACAGATAGTCGAAAGTCATAATTATCATTGTTATCCGACCGTACGTAATCGTTATTGTATCTATAAATCTAAAAATATTTTTTGGGGGAGGCTTAAGCCCCAAAGCCCCCCCCCCACCCCTTGGGTGCGCCACTGGATAATATAGTGTTAACGGATTATATAATTTAATTATTTACGTGAAAATAAAAATAATATTTATGAAATATACACACGTACACACGCATGAACGCGTAATCGTACAAGCTATAAATTCTAAAGAGGGTCGTGGTTCAGAATAATGCATATATTTTCCAAAAAAACGCCCAAAACATGAACAATCCCTATTTTACTACGCGGGTTAAAGTAGAAACTCTAGCGATCGCAGCGCAGACTGATGGCCGTTTAATCTTGCGACTCATTCCGGTACGTGTTTTTACCGTGATGATAACTTTATCAGTGACCAGTACACAGAATATAAAAGATTGCCAGTCGCCAGCATAATATACAAACAAAAAAGAATGACGGCTTTAGACCATAGAGTAATATAGTATTACTTTATGCTTTAGACAGAAAGCCCATCTGAATAATCTATCTGAAGCCGCGGAAAGAATACGCCGCCCAGCAGTCAGCAATATAGTAGATACTATATAGATAATAGAGAGTTCGAATTTTGAGGTAAGTTCTAAGTGCTCGGTGGTGTGAGTAGACCAAAAGTCGAAAACATAATTTACAAATCTGATGGTTATAATTCAAAAGGTATCCATACGACCGGTTGATAAGGGGGTTCATCATTTTTAAGGAGTAGGTACCTAATCCAATCAATTGTTAGACATTCAGAATCTTAAAAGTAAAAACGTTTATTATGATCTTGGCTTTCTATACAAGCAAAATGTATGATTTAACTGCTAATGTTCGTGTTTAGGCGGTTCTTTAATATGGCGTCTACATCAAGAGATTCCCAAGAAACCATCGCCAAAAAGACATGGGAATTGGAAAACAGTATGCAAACCGTTAATACAGTCGACGACATATTCAAATACGACAGACAACAACAACAGGATATTTTGACTGCTAAACCTTGGGAGAAAGAGTGAGTTCATATTTTATTTTTATAAATTATAATAATTGATTTATAATGCTCTGGCATTTAAAGTGTGATTCACTAAGTAGGTATGCTCACTCTTATTTTCTTTTAATAGCTAAATTAGGTATTCAAATTCTGATTTAAAGAGTTTTTAAATAATATACTATTGTTGAGTTTCTTTTACTAGAGGGGTGTCCTGTGAACTATGATAGTACAAACTTCTGTTTTTCAAATAAAAACCCCCCTTTTTAATACAAATTGTTTAGTGGATAATTTTTTTTGAATGTGTTGATGTGTCTAATTCAAGATTCAAACTTGTAGTAGTTAATCGCTCGTAAAATTTTTTGTACTAAAAATAGTCATCTTCTAAAATGTTAAAATAATATAAAATAGAGGTTGTTTCGAATTTATTATTTTTTTTATACTTGAACCTTTTTTACAAATTATAAATGTCGATAGATTAATATAATTTAATACAAATTTCAATCACTATAGCCGCCATATTATTCAAACCCATTACCATGTAGCTGTTATCCTTAATTCACAAAGTTAAATAACTCAAAAACTATGTATTTGTTCAAGCTTTAATTTTGATTTGTCTAGATTTTCGAAAAATCAGCTAAATAATTTACAGTAGAAAAGGAGTGTTATCATCATTAGGCGCAACTAGACCTCTAAAACATGGGGTCCTATAATTCTAAATACCTCATAAAACCGTGGCTATTCGTCATTTATTATAACAAATTTTTTTAATTTTTGTAAATAAATATTTTATAATTTTAAAGTCTAAAGTCTCAGCTCCCGCATGCCATCCCTTACACTAAATATATTATATAGTTGTTGTAATATTTTGTATTGATATAAGTATTGTTAAATTTTTCAGTCCACATTATTTTAGGGATATAAAAATATCCGCATTAGCTCTACTAAAAATGGTGATGCATGCTCGATCTGGTGGTATTTTGGAAATAATGGGTCTATTACTTGGCAAAGTTGAAGGAAATACTATGATTGTCATGGATTCTTTTGCTTTACCTGTTGAAGGAACAGAAACAAGAGTCAATGCCCAAGCACAAGCCTATGAGTACATGACAGCATACATTGAATCTGCTAAAGTAGTAAGTTTAAATTGAGTATGATATTGAATTATATTTTGTCATATGAGTTAGAGATGATTGTAAAAATACTTGTTGTTGTCCCTCATTAGTGAACGACTTTACCACTGAAGTCACCCTGGTACAAAAATCTTAAGCCTAATTTATGCTTATAACATTAAATTCCAGATTAAATTCAATGGAATGTTTAATACAAATACAAATAAATATAAATGTATGTTGTAGAACAATTATTAGTTTTACGTAAATACATATTTTTATAAATGATAATTTGTTATTATGTCACATCACTATATTAATTAGTATTAAAGGACCATAAAACACTCAAAATTGACTTCGATTTTAAAAATCACAAAAAATCTGACTAAAAAAATGGTACCAATAATATTTTTCTGCGTTAAATAGTTTTCGAGTTACGAAGTCTTTAAAATCACGCGTGACATCATAAGATCCTACTCGCGGCGGCAACGTGTACACGCGTGCCTGTTACTAATCGGGTGTCTTCTTACTGTTTTTAGTAATTTGATTCCTATACTTTTGTTTTTCACATAATTTTTCTAAATATGTAATTATTATCTTTTTGATATGATACTATGCTATGCTATTATTTATTTAAGACGAATAATATCTGGTTCATATGAGTAACAAAACAATGTATTTTATTACGTATTAACCATTATTATTTATTAACTTATTATTATTATTGTTATTATAACAAGTACGTATACAAACATTGTTAACAATTTAAATTGATTTAGTATTATTATAAGTATTGCATTAAAAAAAAAAAAACATAATATTTGTACATAAAGCGAGTAATTAGAAATACAGAAATTAGGTAGGAAGTTTATCGTTGGGCCGAAATCCTACATAAACACCATTTTCTTCTGGATAAGTCTGTCTTATTTTATAAATAACACATGATGGAATTACTATCCTATTTCCCTTTCCAATCGTTGTTCATGCATTTATCCACGAAATAAACTGTTTGTAAGCCAAGTATCACCAGACTTTATTTTGTGGTTCACTTTTACACAAAACTTTTTTTTTCTGTTTTTTTTTAGACTTTAAAATCATTTTATGACGAGAAATATTTAAAACATCTTTGTCTAAAACTAGTTTGTTGAATAAAACATTGTGTGTCACACAACCAGCTATTCCACTAAGCTTTAACTTTTTTGGTGTACTTGTCATTATAGAAGATATAATTTCTTTTTTTTTCTTTTTTCTTTTTCTTTTTTCTCGTTCGGATAAATTTGAAGAATTTGAAGTAGAGCAGGGTATATTTTGAGGAACCGTAGGAACAGCATTTGTGTTAAGTTTTACTTTGACTTTTATATTGGGCATTAATTGTTGTCGTAATAAATCTGACTGGTTATAGTCTTCAGACTTAAAATGCTTTGAACAAATTCTCGCGCTATAACCGGGGTTAAAGTTTTTTCGTTTACAATAATTGACCCAACTTCGAAACCTAGTAGGTGATTTTGAATGACATGGAAACATATGAAAATGAACTCCAGATGACGATTGCTTTTCACTTCTTTCATTACAATTAAAAACAGAGCACAGCGTCATTTTCACAATCTAAAGTTAAATGAAAATTCAAAGCTTATTCACAGAGAAAAATATTTTGTTATAAGCTATAGCAATAAGCATATAACTTGACTAGCAAACAAAATAAACAAAATATTAATCATTAATTTTTAAATTTTATGTCCGGTACCAAAAAACATAAGAAAAATTGCGTAAATAATCCTAGTATAAAAACCATCTAAATTTGTAAAATTTTAATTTTAATAATAAAATTATAAAATAAAACTTTTTATGAAAAATTATAATGAAGGTATCCCGTAAAAGTGTAGCTTCAATTATATAATAAAAATATATTAAATAATAAGAACTTCATTATAATTATTAAAAAATATTATGATATGGTAGAGTACCTATGCTCAATAAAATAAAACCTCGTTATACCTTTCCCGCGGATAAAAATACACGGCCGCCGCCTCGGTGCGCCGTAGAGTTGGATCGTATGACGTCACGCGTAATTTGTTAAACGCTGTAACTATAGAACGAATCACCGTTGACAACTTTTATTTACATTTTTTGTTTATGCAAATTCGTAATAATAATAATAGACAAAAAAAAAATATATGATTTTTGTGTTGTATGGTCCTTTAAGTAAAATATTTCAGATGAAATTACATGGTATTGATACAGTTCACCTTAACCCTTTTTACACTATCATAATACAATCTATAGATAATAATATACATATTGATTTATAATTAATACCATAAAATGTATCATAAACTTTGGTTGAATGGTTCAAAATATTGCATATATTTTTCAAAAACTGAAAAAATATATAAATTATTCTTATACTTTAAAGGTTAAAGCATCAAGGGATGCGACCGCAATACATCCTGTTGCTATAAAACCATGCAAATCTTTATGAGACATTTTAAGTGAACGCAGTTTGGTTTATATAATAATTAATTTTTTTCTAGGTGGGACGTCAAGAAAATGCTATTGGTTGGTATCATAGCCACCCTGGCTATGGATGCTGGTTATCAGGTATTGATGTTTCTACACAAATGCTGAATCAAAATTTTCAAGAACCTTTTGTAGCAATTGTGATTGATCCAGTTAGAACAATTTCTGCTGGTAAAGTTTGTTTGGGGGCATTCCGTACTTATCCTAAGGCAAGTTTATAAGTTGTTTAATATTTAATCTTTTTATATCAATTTTAATTATAATACTATTCAAAACATAATTAAAATGTTTAGGGTTACCAGCCAGCAAATGAAGAACAGTCTGAGTATCAAACTATTCCATTGAATAAAATTGAAGATTTTGGAGTACACTGTAAACAATACTATTCATTGGAAGTAAACTATTTCAAATCTTCCCTGGATCGACGTTTACTAGATTCATTATGGAATAAATATTGGGTGAACACTTTAAGCTCGTCTAGTTTAATAACCAATGCTGATTACCTAACTGGTCAAATAAGTGATCTTTCCGATAAGCTAGAACAAGCAGACATTTCTCTGAATCGTACATTTTTCGAGCCTGTTGATCGTAATAAAACTGAAAATAAATTGGTAAAAGCTACAAAAGATAGTAATAAAGCTACAATTGAAATATTATGTGGATTAATGTCTCAAACAATTAAAGAAGCTCTGTTTAATAGTTGTACACCAAAGAATAATCAACAATAAATAACAGATCTGTATTATATTACTAAGAAAATAATTAAAATTCTCGACATAACTTATTAATTATTATAATACTTACATTTTTTTAAATAAATTATATATTATTTGCAAATTAAAAAATGTATGTTATTTTATCATTAAAACCGTTGTAATATTAGCAGTCATTAGGTAAAATGAAAAAATAAATATTTTTGGTTAAATTATTTTATGGAATATAGCATAAATTATATAATTTATATTAAAAAGTAAATTATATTTTATATGATTGAACATTTTTTCATCCATACGTATTATAGAGTACGTCATGTAAAAATATGGCTGAAAAATCGTATGTAGGGTGGTATGGTATGTTCTGTTAATTAGTTTATAGGTCTATGGTTGTATTATAAGATCAGGGCTACTAACAAAATATTTTTAAAAAGTTGGCAGACTTAAAACCTATATAAAGTGTTGTCAAGCAAAAAATAAAAAACTCGATTGTTGTAAAATGAATACATTCATCAGAATCTAAAATTTAAAGCATACAACTTAAAGTAATAATTATTGAAATAATAAAAAATACCTAAATTATGGACAAGATATACTTTGTCTAATCCTCAAAATGTATAATATCAATTAAATCAAAATTAAAACTGTTTGTAGTGCAGACTTCTATACTACATAGAAATCTGTGGTTAATAGTTATACTTACATACAACCAGTTAAAACTAGGGACATTCAATATTTACAGTTTGTCTTACATTATTGCTGCTAGACTACTGAAGTACACAATAATGGACTTCATCAGTAGTTTATTTTATCAACTTTATCTACTCTCTTGAAAACAATACTATTTGGGTAAGTGGTAACTGGTCTAGCAAGGTTTAAACTTTAAACTTTAAATATAATTATATATTATCTATAAACATTGACAGACTCGTATAAGAGGTAGGTACAGATCATATTATTTATTATTATTATTATACTAGTCATAGATATGAATATATTATATAAAGTACTCATCAGGATGTATTGATAATTCATATTAATATGTCTTAGTACAAGTTGTGTAAATCTAATTGCAATTAATATTGTGATTACTGTAATTGAATAAAGGTATAGAGACATAGTTATCTTCAGAGGCATATAGAGAAGAGGATTAACTAGATTAACCTCCCCATAAGCTCCTCAACTGTTCATTTTAAACAATGATATTAAAGTTGTATAAAATAGATTTATTATCATTAAAAAAAAAAAAATAACACCTATGATTTATAGTTTGTATAGATTTAAATATTGTCTTGAAATAAATAATGATGAAAACATCTTTGTAGTTAAATTGTATTTAATAGATAATATTAATGTCACATTCGGTAATTGGGTGGCTGTACTGTATGTCATATACCTCTCCCAACCAAATACTTAATGTGTGTCAGAAAATCACTATGGTCAATTAACTTCAAGTTTCAAAAAACTAGAATGTAAAAGTATGATGTTGTTTTAATAACTACTAACTATAGTGATTTGTTGTTTAATTTAGTACCTACACGATTAAATAAACTATTATATGATAAATTATGTTTTAATACTAATAGGGAGATTGTAGGCAACCCACCTTATTAAATATTTCATAACATGCCTTTATAGCCATTTAAATGTATTGCACAGTTTTTCATTCTCATTTGGCAAGGCATCATCCCATGAGATAGAATAATTGTTACTAAATCTTAGTTAACTGCAAGTTTTTTGATTCAAGCATTTGTTATAGATTAGGTTTGATTATAACAAGTTAGAAGTATAATGGACCGCACTGAGTATTATGTAATGACGGGATCAAGTCACCAAAATTTAATGTTACTGATATTTGCACAAAAGCTAAGACACTTTCAATGTTTGTTGAGTTTATTCAATAAAAAACATATATGGATCCATATCTATAGATCGACCGTGCAATTAACTTTCATCCAGACTTTACCAGATAACAATAATCAATATAGCAATGTTATTACTAGAGTACGGATTTTGAAGGCATTTACCTTTTTTTTTCTATTGCTCTAAAACGGAGCACATTTTATTTTTCTATTTTTTTTTGTATATTTATGCTTTTTCGGGCATTTTTTCAAAATGTGTTCTAAATAAACGTATTTGAAATGTTGACTTTTATTTTTGTATTAAATTTAGTGTTTTTCAAGGTCATGGCTGGCTCAATTGATATTAAGTCGTTATGTTTGATTTAGAAACATATTATATAGTATATTGTAGATTAATTTATCTTGAAACAACAATAAACACAAAAATATTTGCTTTTTCTGGAAATTATCTACTCAGAATTACAGTTTAGTTTTCATTGTAACACTGTATAGTTTGTTATTCTTACCGATTGACACTTACAACATTCCAAAAATTATTATTTGTAGTCTTCGAAAATTTTGTAAAAGAATTTGGTGAAGACATTTTTTCTTGTGACAATGATGTACTTTTTTACAAAGTATGTGGTGTTAAAGTTTCTGCCAAAAAAATAATTTTATAACTATTGTTTAATTTATTTTTTATAAACTATCTTAAATAGAATAAATTTAATTTACAGATTAATTATTGTAGAAGAAGGAATACTCGAAGAAGCAGGCTTGTAAATAAGTTTATTATAATACCTTTTTAAAAAAAAAATAATTTATTGTACTAATAAATACTTTTAATACTTTTTTTGTAATAAATATTTTTTTTAAAACCCATTTTTAATGCTTATTTGGAAGATTTATAAGGCTTTGCTGCTTTTTTTTAGTCTTTTATTACTTTAAAACCCGTACTCTAATTATTACTAACATCAACAAGATCTTTGACAAAAGAAAATATCCATAAAATAACATATTATAATTTTTGATTACAAAACAAATATATTTCAATAATTTAAAAGCATATAATTATTTTAAAATATAAATTTATAAAAATGGTGATTCTCATTTTTGAAATTCCACACGCTTTGCAAGTAATCAAAGTAAGGTAAGAAATAATAAGGGATAAAAAACCACATTAACACTATTAACTTAAATGTTACATCCATCTATTTTTTTTTTTTTAAAACCCAGTTTTATTTTGTAATATAATAGGTTTTCCAAAACATTTGTACGTCATAGCTGATACTTTTGAGTTAAGAATATATATAAAAATTGTAATTACTTAGTTGATTTAATTACACAATGCCAATATGTTTCATTCAATTGAAACTCACAAATAAATTATTTAAATTCATAGACATAAATAAATTAAAACAATTGTTCCCGTGATAACGTCGTGCCAACTACATGTATGCAAACAACAACACAAAACATAACAAGTGAAAGATAATGGTATACTAAATGCACAAATGTAATTACATGTAATACAACAGTCGATTGATTTATTTAGTATAAGAAAAAGGCAGTATGATTGAATAAGAACATTTTAATTATCAATTTTCATAATAACACAATACTATTGCATTGTAAAATTGATATTTAATATAAAAATACCATCGATTTAACATTGTAGGAATTACAATGTTTTGGTAAAGTAATAATTAAAGACCGGATTTATATGTTTTTACATATCGTTACTGGGTCTATGCAGTCTAATGAGAGTAAAAATGTGGACGATTCGTTCAATTCTGAATGAGTAGAAAAAAGTTTTTTTTGCATATTTGAGAATATTTCATGGGTTGGAGAATATTTAACCCATTTAGCATATTTTGGAATATTTCGTAAATTGTGAGCAAAAATTTGTATTAATTTTATTAATTTGAATATTACGGTACTCTGAAAAATTTTTTTTGACCATTTACAATTTATTTTTTTTTTCATTTTGATAAAAATAAAACACGCAGTATTATCAAGGTTTATCTATGTATATCTACTGATAAGATCAACTTATAAGTTTATCAAATATTCAAATATCAAGAGAATATAAATCCGGTCTTTAGTAATAATACATTAAATCGATTGAATACTCATTAATGTTGCCTTTAACTTAACGTAAGAAAAATTAAAATTTGTCAAAAAATGACAAAATTTTAAAATTTCCAAACTTTTTTTATATATCAGTAACATAATATATTTTAGGATAAATATCAATGGTATAGACACACATATATATATATATATTATTAATGTGATAATTGTATATATATATATACATATTATATAACATTAATGATATGATAAATATTATATTAACTGAGCTAGTATTGGTGAAAACGGTTTCCCAAAATATAAAAATAATAAATGTGTATACTAATAAATAATAATACAAAATAATAAAATCACTTTAAGGAATGATTAAGTTCCTAATATTATAAATTATAAAGTATAAACGTATATATTTAAATAAATTATAAACTATAAATAATAATATGTTTTATATAATTTTCATAATTTTAATAATATATTTTAATTTTAATAATCAATAAATATTTTAGTAATACAAAAAATGATGGATACATAGAGATTATAATAATTAAGGCTGTTTAAATTTTAACAAATTATAGTAATATAAATTGTACTAAGTTCTGACAGAACTACCATATACAGAAGAGCGTTGATTATTTGGAGTAATTAGGACCAATAGGGAAACGGATAATTGATTTGGGAGGATTATTATATGATGACTAATTATGTACATTGTACATGTGTTTTGAATTTAAAATATTTTATTTATACATTTGTCATACGTAGTATTATAGTATATTATATTATTGTGCGGTGTACATATATGTAATATGTATATACCAGGAGTGGCCAAACAGCGGCTCATGTCATACACATGAGGCTCGCTTATTAATATTTTTACTAATATAATAATTGGTTTTATTCAGGCATTTTCTTCATATTATTTTTCATTATATAGCTACTCTTATTGTTAACTACCCCTGATATACACGATTAATAGAGATAGGATATTGATGACCTAAAAATAGTCAAAAATTAACTAAATAAAATTAAAACGCAGCATTGAGATAAGATTAAATTATAATATATGAAGGTGCAAAACAAGTATCCAAACACATTTTTTTTTGTTATCTTATATAAAATAAATATAATGTTTTGAAACTTAAATGTATATCATTTAGGTAATATAATATGTAAAAATAAATGGATAAAACAAATAAATAATAATGATTTTGGATTCTGAATTAATGTTCAGTAGAAACATTATAATAGAATTTCTTCTAGAAAAGAATAATGCAACTCATCAAAATCCTATCCCTAATAATTAAATATAAAATTAATATTGTATTAAGTTATGTACTTAAATGTATATTTCAAATTAATAATTTTTGTAAAATATGTGAATAAACATATTGTTATTAAGTATATTTGCAAATTTTGGTGCGAATAATTGACAGATAAAATAATCGACATTCCACTGTATATGGGTATATTTAAATCAGCCATAAAATAACATTACACATTTGCTGTGAGAAATCATAAAATTGATTATGAAATTACCTCGACGTTAAGTGTTGACTTCTTTTCTTCGCTGTTTATCATTTCAAGACTAGTTTTCAGAATGTCTATTTGATGCTAAAAATAATGGATAATAAATATATTACGAATATGCCATCTATGTTTTACTCTTAAAATAGGTTATATGTCTAAAATAAAGTTAAAAAATAAATAAAATGTGTCTCTTATTAATGATATTATTACCAATATAAACTTAACACTAGTAAAGCATTTCCTTGTTTCTATTTAATTGTATAACATATTTTCTATTTAACCTAAGAAATAATAATTATTTGGCTTTATAGTGTCTAACACAGGCATGTCAAACTCAAAAGTATTAATTGGGCCAAATATATTGAATAGTTTACAATGTCGCACAGACAAATATAATACCAAAAATACATTTTATACAAATTTTTAATTTTATTTGTTACTTACAATACTAAGCAATACTTAGGTATTACATTAGTTTATCAAAAGATAACACAGAAAAGTAACATAATGTACCTCGAACTAACATAATATTGTTACATAATGAAGATTGCAACATTTTTGTTTATAATTAATTGTTCATTCATATTGCTATATATTAGGGCAATAAAAATATAATCATAGGTCCTCAGGCCCCGTGTTTAACATGTCTGGTCAAACATGTATTAGTGTATACGAATATGACAGTTTTATTTAATTTTATATAAACTAAGATAAATATATTTGAAAACCATGTTGGTTCATTGTTAACAAAATAAACTTCTATAAAAATGTAGGTACCTGTGCATGTTTTATTTCCCACTCAGCAAGTTCTAATAAGTTTTTATTGAAAGTTGACACTCGTCTTGCTTTAAAATCAATCAATTCTAAAATAATATTTATATAATTATTGATTACCAAATATGATATTTATATATAATTATATAATATAAAAGAGAAAAAACTATGTTGCATTTCATATTATAAAATATAGCATTTACCTTCTTTTCCTTTATCAGACATGACTTCAAATTTTTCACATGATATCTGTTGTGTTGCCTCCGCCTAAAAACATATAATTTATGTGTAAAAAAAAATATTGATTTTTTTTTGTTGATAATCTATTCATACAACAATAATTCATAATTTATCTAAATAACACATGTAATATTTTGCTGACAATTTTCTAATTGACATTATATCTACTAACAAAAAATAAATACAAAATTAAAATCTTAAATGTACCAACTATAAAACTGTTAAAAATTATAATAAAACAAAGCTATAATAGATTATAACATAAAATCAACTTTGTAATTCAGCATTCAATAAAATTCACTTATAACAAAGCCGGTTATAAGTTAAAAAATATAAATACCCATTTACAACCTAACCAGATATACTATTATTCCTAGCAATATCACTTATCGCTATAGTCCAGATTTATATTCCATAAAAACCAAAAAATATTCTCTTAAAAATTACAAAAATAATCAATGAATCTCAATATATGCTTTAAATTTGTTTTCACAATATTCCTTGAATTTAAGTGAAGTATTATCCCATGATTGACAAATATTCAAAAAATCTTTTTTTAGGTTCCTCAATATTAAAATTAAAACAAATTTGTATTTTTTTTCTCACAATTTACTAAGTACCTACCTACTCCAAAATATGGTAAATAAACTTAATACTCCATAATCCATAAAATATTCTGGAATATGCAAAAAAAAATTTTTCTGATGAATCCTGTATTGAACCGTCCAAATTGTTTACTATCATTAGCTGCATATTATCCTCAGTAACTATGTGTAAAATACACAAATCCGGACTATGCTCATAATTTTACATGAACGATCGATTAAAATATGTAAATAATACAGAGACATATACTAGTCATTAACATGCAATCTACTCTTTTGTAAATAATTACAACATTTGCAAAAGTAAAATTTTTTTAAAAATACAGTTGTTAATAAAAAAAAAATTTGAAGTATATTTGTATATTATTAATTATACATTTCTAAAAAGATAATTAACAAAATAAATGGCAAATCTTAGCATATTGCTATAATCATATTATGCCATTATATATCATACTAATGGGTACTTACATCATAAACTTCTTGAGCCTCGTTAAACAAGTTAACGAAATAATTATATAATATATTATGTATATTTGTATTTATATACAGTAAAAGTTACTTACTGCATGAACGTCTTTATTTTTTGCCCTAGCTTTTTCTAGATTTCGATTAGCTGTTTCGTAGTTGGCTAAACAACGTAATCGCCTATATAATAATCGTTTTGCAGCAAATGAATCACCTACATAGTAACGCAATGTATCTGAAAGTTTAAGGTCTTCATCAGATGCAACTCTCCCTTCCACTTTCTACATAAAAATACAAATTGGAAAAAGATATTAGTAATAACTAATAAGCACTTATTATTTTTTGTCAATATATTTGAACAAATTAAAATAAACTTAATCCAAATATATAAATTGTTAAATCCTTTATTTTATATAAATGGCAATACTTACTCTAAGTTTTTCCAATGTTTCGGAAAATCGGTTCAAGAACCAATCTAGTTCTCTATGATCAAAAGTAGATAACTGGACTAAACATGATGAAATCTTGATATAACAGTCTGCAACATCTGTTCAATATTTAATTAAAATATTTGTTTTTTTTCAAAAAGTATTTATATCATGAGTTTGAAATCTTTTTTATATCAAGGTTAGGTTAAGTTAATATCAATGGGCAAAATTAAATATAAATTTAAAGGAAAACATTTTTTTTTTTTTATTTTAGGATAATTGTTTTAAATACTCTATTTTATGAACAATGAACAAATTATATTGTTTAAAAAACAGCACTTTACAGTAAAATTGTACAATGAACACTGATGAATGCATACTTGGCACACGTTAAGAGTACGACCAGTCATTCAACATAACCTTATGTTCCCACTATTGCATTTGAATTGCATGTTAAAAGCAAGTTATGATCCGGCTGCGTACTTACGGATGGTAAATAATTATTGTTCGCTGCTCAGTCATGCTCTTAACATGCAGCAAGTACATATTATAATGTACACTGCACAACAATTATGTATGCGCACATAAAATAAATGATTTAAGATGATATCATACCCACATGTATAGCACATATTACTAAACCATAACCTACCATAATTTATATTCAGCAGTTGCGCTTTTGTGTAATTAGCTTAAATATTGTACTCGACTTTTATTAAGAGAACACTACATCTGCATGTGTTGCCACCAACTTACAAATTTTATGTTCTGAATCAGTGGTGTGTATCCTTAATTAAATATGTAATGCTGAGGATAATTCTGAGGACCCACCCACCAACAAAAATTTATTAAGTTATACAAATTACCAATATTCAATCAGTGTGTCACATTTTTTGTTAATTTGTGGGCGTTATATTTTGATATATAAAAATTAATCTAATAATTTTTTTAAAAAAACACATCTTTATTTTTGTAAATTGGTTACAAAATAAATAATATTCCTAATTAAAACAACCATTATTTTAAAGGAAAAAATATACACAATAGAAAATTGTTATGGAATGTAATCGAATATACAGAACATAAATGCATTCTTCAATCTATAGAATATTCATCTGGAAAACAAAACACAGATTGCCAATTATATGACAACCCTATTATAAATAATACACACATCTTCTAGACTCACATCTTCCATTTTAAATTTAATAAAATAATCCTTATAAGTTTTTCTACCTACAACAAAAAGAACAAGTTTGTAGGAAAATGAAAATAATTTTTTTTTTTTAAAGCATTTAAATAACAAATTTTGATAAAATTCATCAAAATCTCGAAATGTTGCAAATTATTTTATAAATAAAATGTATTAACATGTTTAATTTGTATAGCTAAGGGGTGGAAAATCAAAACAACATTTCTCTAGTTGATACTGTAACATACAGTTTTAAAAATTATATAAACACAGTTTTTTTTATAGATATTTTAAGTTCAAATTTGGGTGAAATTAGATATTTAAACAAAAAATAAAAATGTTAGTTATTTTGTTGTAATTTAAAAATATTATTCATTGGTACTTTAAAGTACCTAAATTAATATATTGTATACACACAATGTAATTTTACAAATTAACCTTCTATTAATATCACAAAATATAGGTACTTAGTAAAAGGTTATGTTGACCTAAAAAATGGCTGACAGACAGTCTTCACTCACTGAAAAGTTTTTCATAATTAATAATTAATTATTAATTATCATTGAATGAAAATTTGACATATCCATTACAGGTGACCCAATGGCCTCCACCCACACAACACCTTATGTACAACAGATCAGTAACCACTTGCCCACATTTTTATTTACAGATTAATCAAGTAAATATAAATATAAAATGTGGACAAGTGAGTACCACTCTGCTGTATAGTAGTTATAATGGATCTGATTTGTTAGATTTTAATTCAATAATGAATCATTGTACACAAAAAACGATTCTGAGCGATTACTATGTGTCTAGCATACTTGTATACATAATCAAATACCTATAATAATTGATAAAAATCAAAAATATTTCATGACTATAAATTATTATGCAAAGCTTTTATTTTGTATAAATATTATGAGGAATCTTCTATTAAATTTTCAAATGTTACTTACCTATAAAAATAAAATGTTATATGAATTCTTACCTAAAAAATAATTTGCAAATTTTTGCAAATGTATTGTGGATTAAGCTTAACTTTATTTTTATTTTCACTATAAAAAATGTATGAAGAATCTTGTAAAACAATTTCAAGTTTTTTGATATAGTAAAAATTATTTATCGAAAAAATAACCTTAAAAAGTCGATAATGTCTCATGGCCATAAATAGCTTTAAATGTCAAAATGTTATCAAATATAAAAAAAAATAATCATATTAACATCTGGGGGGAATTTAAAGTATCTATGGTAATTTGTTTTTGAATTACACAAAAAAAAAAAAAACAAAATAGATTTTGTCAAAAATTGTTTTTGCATAAAAATTACCATTTTTTTTTTGTTTTTCCTAACGCTTTCAAAAACGAATGGGAATTTTAAATTTTAATTCACCAACTAGATTCACTTTTCTATCAGGAAATACGTTTAAGAAAATAGGAGCATTTTTACTGGGTATTCCAAATGACAAATGTTGACAACAGACAGAAAAAAAAACACATCATTCTAAAATCAACAGTTACTTTCGCTTTGCTTAGAATCTAAAAAAGCAAGATTCAAAGTCCATGCATGCTGAAGGTATTATTTTGATTATAATTTTCTAATTGAATAAATATAAATAACATTAGGAATGCCACGTTTTCTTCTGAATATGATTTATTTCAAAACTTGTACTTATAGTGTTGTTTTATTTTTAATTATATAACACTAATTAGTCATAGAATAATAAATAATCACTCTACATCCAACCACCCGCCCAGTTAGCCACCAAATTTTTATGCGTTGCTGAAGCAACACACAGGCCATAGAATCGCCGCCACTGTATCTGAATAATATAATATTCTGTTATATTTAATATTGAAGCGAAATGACCTATTATAAATGTAGAAGTAAGGATATGATCTAGTGAATCTTATAGGTTTTTTTGTTTATTTTATTTTAAATCAATATATGAGTATAACTTTAAAATATAAAAATTCTCAAAATTCCACAAAATTGTAGCTGCTGAAAGCAAATCTTGGTATATTATGAGTTAGTAAAACGGAAACAACACATGCAGGTATGATGTCCTCTTAAGAAATATTGATTTCAAATCAACAATAATAACATTCTCTGTTATGAGTTATGTATATTTTTATATTATTTATACATTTATTACAATGGTCACAAAATTGCTTTGAAAGCCGCGGGATCAAGGACCCCTGATATAAATAAACCCAAACATTATATTTAAATTAAATTATTAGTAAATGAATTCAAAATATACTGACCTTTATGCTTGTTTACCATTTTATCTGATTTCATAGTGGCATCTTTTAAATGGCCATAATAATCTATTAGGAAATTTTTTTCTTGCTCAAAAAAATCATTGACATCTCTTACAGTTGCAGAAAGTAGGTATTCGTCTGTGGTCTTCGAGAGAGATTTCATTATTTCCTTAAAACAAATGACATATAAGTAATATAAAAACTAACAAAAATAATTTTTAAAACAAAATACTCACCTCAAAAAGTTCTTTTTTATTTTTTGTACGAACAGCAAGGTCTTGATCGTATTCTAAAAATACTCGAAAATTTGTATCATATCGAAATACCGGGTGTTGAGCTAGTCTTGAAAGGAACATTTCGTGCATGGCAACAGTCTTCTTAAATGTGGCTAAGTACTCACTAAAAAAAAAAAAATGAATAACACAATTGGCTATGTAAGATAATGATTGAAGTATTTTTATTGCCATACGCTTCTAATTCTTTTTTCATTTTCAAAAATTCTTCTTTGGTCATTGTACCTTCACCTTCTCCCAACTTTTGCAACTTTTCTCTCGAAGAATCAAAATCTGGACGTGGTGGGGCAGGTGGAATCTAAAATCCATAGATAACACTGATCAGTAATAAATTAAAAAATACATAAGCATTTAATTTTATAGTAACTAAAATAAGATTTGTACATTTGTAAATAATTGGTACAAAAAGACTAGATAGAAATACGATATGAACTTTGTTATTTCCTAAAAGTAAGAAGCATGCTTCTCAGGGGCGTAATTTCTGATTTTGAAAGGGTAAACCCAGCTGATTAAATTTGCCGACTTTATAATATTTGAACGATTAATGGTTATCTATATATTTAATATTTATGGAAGATAGACCATCAACAAAATATCTTTTGAAACCAAACATGTAAGAGTTAGTAATGAATAATGATATCATGATAATAAACTAAGAACATGAAACGTTTCAATTTACCCAATTAAATAATAACATTTAAGATGGTAAAACATTAATTTATTTACTTATCCTATAAGTTACCTATCAATAGGTTTAATAGAATAATAATATAAATCTAATTAAATAAATACTTATAATTTTATTATTTGTATATTTAAGAGGACGTGATACCCTCCTCATGTGTTGTCTCTGTCTCACAAGTGCTTAACATACCAAATTTTACGCTCAGCAGAATGCGTGTTAACTCCGTTAGTTTAAAAATTAGAGCGAATTGACCTCTTATAAAATCTAAAGGTAAGATTATTATCTAGGCAACATCATGGGCTTTTTATTTTATTTTAGTTTTCACGTGAGTTATGAGTATTTAAAATGTATAAACAATTTATAATTTTAAAACGGGTTAAATCATTCTTAAGAAGTACAACTGGGGATGAAAGATTGAGTGATTTAATGGTAATAAATGTTGAAGGAGATTATACAAGTCATGTTAACTTAGAAGAAGTTAAGAATATTATCTTTGCTAATATTAAGAATCGAAGATATCCAAAGATTTATAAAAAATTTATAATTTTAAAATACTCATAACTCCCGTTAAAATTAAAACAAAATAAAAAGCCTCAGGGGTTGCCTAGATAACAATCTTATCTTTAGATTTTATAAGAGGTCAATTCGCTCTAATTTTTAAACTAACGGAGCTACACGTGTTCTGCTGAGCGTAAAATTTGATATGTTGGGCCCTTTTAAGACGGATATCACGTCCTCTTAATACTTTTCAGAACTTATTTATAAAAACATGAAATTGTATCTCAAATATAACACGTTTTTCTCCGTGTATATTATTTTTGTGTTTGCTACGTTAGTCATCGTCAAATACACTGTCACAAATCAAACATTCTAGTTTTATTATTTTTCTTTTCTTTGTAGAAACTTCACTCATTTTAAATTTAATATTTTAATTACAAAGTAATAAATCAGAATAATCAGATATTGATATTCTAATGTATAATAAGTAATAACACAATAAAAGTAGTAAATACGGGTTCGTCCCGAATTGTAAAATAAAATAAAAAAAATAGAAATACTAATTAGTGATTAGACCATGGAAGTCGGCAAGGTGGATTTAAAAATAATTATGGAATCATTTATAAATCCACCTTGGAAGTCGGCAATCGGGGTTTGATGTTATCAAAATTAACAATTTGTTGTATATCTATTTTTAGAATTTTTCTAGATATTGCATAGAAGTGTTTCATGTAATAACAATTATCATAAGCCGAGGAGGAGCCAGTGTTTCCCAACATTTTAATAAACCGTGAATGTGTATTTAAAAGAGAATATTATCTGATTTCTGAATACAAAATAGTAAATACAAATTTAGTATTTACTGATTTTAGCATTTGATCATCGGACATAGAATTTGCCAATTTCTTAAAATTTCTTAGAGTGGGGCATTTGCCATAGTCTGCAGCCTCCCCCTCCCCCAAATGACGCCCCTGATGCTTCAATTACTTATTTACACTTAATTTGTAAATTGTTTTTATTTTATTTTTCCACTAGACATTTTTTTTTTTTTAAATATACATGATGAACTATATTCTGTATATGTTAAAAAATGTAGTTGGCAACCAACTTGTGCGAAAGGGTGTGACACTACACGATAGCCGACAGGTATACAGATATATGAATGGGTGGAGGGACAAACGGGTGTTGCCTGACTACGGCCCAACAAAAACAGATGGCTGCCGACTATGTTTATTAAATTGAACAGAGTATATATGTACTACTAATAAAATATTAAATTATTTCTACATAAAATATTTGTATTTACATAATTCTATGCATGTAGTTAATTGTAAGAAGTGGCAGCTCAATAAAACCACCTTAAAATGTGTGGTTATAAACTATAATTCAGTTAGAGCAGATCCATTAGTTCTTGAATAATTCTTTTTTAATTTTCATGGATAATTATTTCTTAGAGTGATTTACGAGGTGATTTATAAAAACATTTGTGTTACTAATTTGTTATGAAATCTTTTAGTGCATTGGTATTTGGTATATTAATAAAAGAATACTTCATATTGATAGAAAGTCTTAATATTAAATTGCATATTTCGCTTAGGGAAAAAAAGAGCTTAGTCAATTCATTTTTTAAGTACTTATTGTATTGGTTATTAAATCATGCTTAAGTAACTTGTGAGTTTTTATTTTTAGCGTTTTTAAATTAAATAATTTATTATTAAACACAAAATGTTAAAACATATTTGTAGACAATTATTTTTGTTTCTCATTAGTTTTTTGTCAATACTGTAATTCAAGTGAATGAATTAATTTACATAAATTTTCATACTAACAATAAACCCAGCGTAGTCTTCATTTTCTTCAAATTGATCGTGTAACCAGATAAATTCTTCATGCTGACGTACAACTGAAAATTCTGATCTTTGAAAATCTGGTAATGTTGTCTAAACCATAAATATTAAATTATTATAGTTGTTTTTGGTAAATTTTGTTATAATGGTATAACTCTCACCTTCGACAAAACAGTGAATTTGACCCTGTCCTTTTCACTGAGAGCGTCAGAAATAACAACTTGAAGAGAATTATCACTTAAATCGACATTCTCAGAATTACTCCCCTGGTGTACAAAACAAATTATAGAAATTAAAATGAGCTAAACAAATTACATGCATGATAAAAAAGAATAATTACTTCGTTTAATATATCACTCTGGGAATTGTTTTCTTCCACGTCAAACTCGTCAGACTAGAAACAGAAAATTATTGTATATTTAACACATTGAATGAAACAAGACTTAAAAATAATCAGTGTCAAATATGTCTGGACCCAGCTGGGATAGCTCGGGGTGCTGAGGAAAGCTCTAATTTAGCACCACCTTTTTTTTATTTGACATTTGTATTAAAAAAAACAATTCTAAAAGATGTTTTTCTTAACTTAAACAAGTATTTCAAACAGCAGTTACAATTCCAATAAGTTGGTGAATGCAAAAGTACCTATGCAACAATTTAATAATTGGTTGAAGACAAGTATAGCAAGTTTTTCAGACTTGTCTATTTTTAATTTTGAGATCAATGTTGGAAATAATAATAGAACAGAATCAGTGTTAGATAAATGCAGCACAAAAACAAGGAACATAGTTTTAAAATAATACATTGTATTCTTACATACGTTATTTGTAGTTTTTATATTGGTTGTAAGTTGAATAATACTGTATTGTAATAATGAGACAATTATTTTAATTTGAAAATACAATATTATATTAGGTTGTATACAAATTAATAATAACGTTAAAGTTGTGTGACAAACATTTGTTATTAATGGCTTTGAAATTTAGCTGATGGGTAGGGCTCGGAAGTTGAGGCATTTTGCTTTTTTTTTTGGAACTTTTAAGACGATGCTCTCCTGGCCACAAATGCGTTTCATTAGCATGCTCGTTAGCATGTGCAGAATCTGAAAAACTAAATTTTACTTTGCATTTTTTGGCTTTTTTTGCTTTTAAGTCATTTTTTGACATTTATCGACATTTTTAGTCATTTTTACTGATTTCACACTAGTTCACTTCTTATCATTTCTTGTCTATGCCTACCTATAACTTAAAACTTGGAAATTACCACAGACTAAGATTAGTACCTATCCGATTTTATCTCGCCGATTACAGTCGTCGCGTCGTTTTCAAACAAATATTTTTTATTTCATTTTTAAGGAATTATTTGTCATTTTTATATCATATTTTGAGAAATTTGTAAGCTTTGATAAATGTATATAGAATTTTATAGTAAAATAGCGTAAAATATTTATAAAAAAAATGTATTTTTATTAATTTAAAACAAATATTTGTAATTTTTTTAGATCATTTTTTGAGGACATTTTTCGTTATTTTTGTGTCATATTTGCATTTTTTTCAGGTCATTTTTTGATATTTTTAAGGTCATCAACTTCGGAGACCTACTGATGGGCAAAGCGGGTTGGTGAGATATACATAATTTTAGCACCCTCTAGTTGAGCTCATGAACTCGCGATGAGCAGTCGTCGACAATACCAATCATTGCAAACGACGTGTCCGGTGCAGACTGTCTGATGGCAGTCGATCGTAAACCTCACCGAAAGTAGGTAGTTTACAAAAACTCTCGAGGATTCGGGGAGGGAGGGTACTTACAAGCATAGTGTACACGGACGTCGGTCGCTGACTCCGTTTCACTGGTGGTGTAAGTCGAGGAGCCGGGCTAGACTAAGCGGGCGATAGGACGGACGTTCGACTAAGGGCACAATCGAGTGATTCGCGAGAGCTCGAGAGCGTCTTACGAAGTCGATGATAAATGTCACAGTTGGTGTTGTCACTTGAGTCGTCGTCCTGACGCCGAGCAAAGTTCAGACGATATCGGCAAACGCATTTAATAAGCAAACGTCTAGCGCGCGTGCGTACAATACAGCGACGATCGTCGACGGGTGACGGGTCTGCGGACTACAACAACAGTCAATAACGGATCGGACGCAACTATCGCGGTGTATTTCCTTTCAGCTGGATACTAAAACAACGAAGCTAATAAACAATAACGATTTAAATAACGGGATTAAAATATGTCGTCGTAATATTGGCAAAATAGGAAGTGGTGTATCGTAATAATTATATGTCTTCCGTATCGTTCGAACTTCGGACGCACTCTCTGCGCCTAGAGCGTACAAATGTACAATACTACAGTTTACATTACAACGATGAATATTGATAAGAACGACGTCGTCGGCTGCGGCGATATACGCCCACTCCATTGTGTCTCTTATGATTACACGATATCTCGAGGGAACTTCCGCAGCCGCCGCCGCCACGGCGGGTTGTTGACCATGGTCGTCACCCGCCGCATTTACGGTGTTGCCAACTCATACGCGATGTACTATAATTATTTCAATATTTATTAAGAATATTATAGGGATTAGGGATTGTTATTTGCTATTGTTAATATTATTATTGTACCATTATTACTTGAGAGGACCCATACATTTGTTGTCTCCGTCGTACACACGTACGACAGTTTTCAAGCGAGATATGAGCATTTTTAATTTTTGATATTTCACATACGCATATCTTGCTTGAAAATGAAAAATTCGAAAAATCGGCAACGCACAGATAATGTTCTTACCTAAAAGTTTTATAATTCACTCTAGTATCAAAACTAACAGCACACTAATACACTATTGAAACTAGTGAACGACATTTTGCTATGTCGTGAGTGTGCAAGACGGAGATAACAAAATATATTGTATGGATAGCGTCGAATCGTGAAAACATTTCAATAATATAATATTATGGTTTACGTCTTATATCAATCGACCGACGAATTTTAAATTCATAATCGCCGCCCAACTTTAAAACCAAATCCAAAAGTCTTATTTTTTTTTCTATTATTTTCTTGTTTATATTTAAATACAAAATACCTATAGACATGTAAAAATTGCAAAATTATTATCTGGTTCACCGAATGTAGGATGTAGGAATAAACACATTATGATCATAATTTGGGTTAAATTTATGGGGGTGCTAGATTTGCTCGACTAAAGTGTTATGGGGGCTTTGCCCCCACACTGCCACACCCCCTCCATTCAAACAACTTAATTTTATACACCTTCGCATTAATCTTAATACAAACAACCACTAACCAAACCTATAACATATAAAACACTGATTTTACCTATATTATTATTCTGATACCCATATGTATCATTATTATTATGAAAATGATGAAGTCTTATTAGAAATAAATGTATCCAACTATACCTATGGCATAATTTTAAAGTCAATAAAAATTTGATGATGCTATCAAAAATTTGGGTGTTATAATATGAATTTTGGGGGTGCTAAGCCAAATTGCGCCTATGATTATGATCCCTATATCAATATGACAATATGATTTCTTTCGGTCCGAGTTTGGTAAATTCGGCTTTCTTGGCACCAAATTAATAACAATTTTTAATTTGTATCCTTTTGGATACCTTAACTTATCATTTACATTTATTTTCCCTACTTTCACCTTTCATATTTGCACACTATTTTAATAATAAAAAAGTTCAAAAGCATACTTTTTTTAATAAAACGTGATTTTTACAAGAATATTTGGTCAATTTTTGTGAATAATAAATCAGGGCTTGCAAACGTTTTATTTGACAAAAAACGATTGCAATTTATAAATGTACCTAATTATAACGGAAAGCGATAATCAAAAATAATTAAATACCGTAAAACAAAACGAAACGATTAATAAAATATATTATAAGTACATCTTTAAACAAAACATAACGCAAAACGTACCTAATTTATAGAATATCATTAGGTAGGTAAACTAAAAATAACTCAAAACGTAATTTTTAGAATATCATTGAACGAAAAATAATGAAAAAAGAAAACCGAAGAGCAGAAATAGATATTTTAAAATCTATTTATTTGAAAGGTCTATTGGTTTCGTAGAATCATTTATTTCATGCAAACAATCTAAGAATTGATTATATTATATTCCGAATCCGGGCCATTAACTACCCTCATTAATTATTATTTTTAAATGTAATAAGTATTAAGTATTAACACTATTTACACACAATTTGATAAACGATAAAAGCAAAACTTGGATAACGTTTTAATTCTAAATAACGATAAACACAAAAATTGTGGTTCGTTTACAATTAAAACGTTTATTTAAATAATTAACATAAAACGAATTTTTTTTTCAAATACAGGCTCATTTAGGTATAGATATTAGACAGTGTATATAAATCCAAGCACTTCGTGGCTACGTATTATAATAATTTATAACTATATTCGCAGTTTCAGTTTTTAACTTGGGGCGGCTTTAGGTACATATTTAATTGAAAAAACCCGTGAGTGGCTCTGAAGTCTATCCCAGTGGCGTAGTTAGATGAGAAAGGGCCCCGGGGCAGTAAATAAACTAGCCCCGCTTAACGAATATTATCTTTATGTAAATTCAAAATATATACGTAATGTTTTGGGGCCTCAAGGCACTGTCAAACTTTTACCTATGATAGCTAAGTCACTGTTCTCCCCCTCAAACTCTCTGTATACCTCAAATACTTTTAAAATACATTAGCCACTATTTAGGTTAGGTGTAAAGGGGCCTGTGTGGTCTGCCTTAATTATAATTAGGGTTCGGAATTAAATGGCAATTTTCTAATTTATAATCAGTAAATAAAAGCATTTAAATTGTCAAAAAGACAAAAAAAAAACATTTGTAATGATATGCTAACACACCATTATAATAAACTAAAATCTTACAGAATACTTAATAAATAACGGCCAGACTGTCGTTTGTAGAAATCGGTCACATCAAATAAAACCATTATTAACGACAACTAAGATATCGGCACCCACTCATAACGGTAAAACGCAGGATGTGTGACTTTAATACTTTATTATACGATGCCGCCAGAGAAAAGGAAAGAAAAAAAAGGGTATCTGCCGCCAAAGAATAATCTAGTTCCCAAGCTCACGATAACATTTTTGATAAAGCCGCCTACCACTCTCTGGTCAGCATCGTCGCGTCGTCCCTTAAACCAGTGCATGAGCACCATTCACAGAGTAACAACCTCCAAAAAAAGTCTAAAAAGACCGATTTCAACGAGCGACATTCTGGACTCCTTATGTGAGTTTCAGTGCGTTTATTATTTCGAGTTATAATTTTAAAAAATATTACTCTGTGTCTATTAAAACCCTTACAAAATAATTCACAATCGGCTGCGGATCAGGTAAGGCAATTAATATAATATTTTATGTTAATTGCATTTATTATATTATCTGTGCATGCTTTTTATACAATTGTGTCGTATAGTGTATTTGATTTAATTCTCGAAAACACGATATCGAGAGCCCTCCGATCACCTGGAGGAAGGTAATTTATTGCTTAGTCTTACGATTTTAATATATTTATCGACAGGCGTCGTATTTTATTTTCTATCGTAATTTTTGAGTCATTACACATTTAATTTATATAAAAAGCAATTACAGAAAAAATTTACAAATAAATTAAGTAGTTTATATATTGTACAGTCAACTAGTGTGTATTAAAAAAAAAAAATCACTATCATTTATACCTAATTAGATAAACTGTCTTCAGTAAAACATTGACTGTTTCGGCTTAAAATATTTGTGTACATAGAAAATGTAATCGGGATGGACTGACAAACAATTTTGAATGTATAGTAAATATATACGCATTATGAACAAATTGTAATCTATAGATAGCCAGATAGGTAGTATGGGTACTTTTATAAACGTTAAATTAACTGGCTATACCAAATGCTAAAGTATTTAGCGTTAGCGATATCGGTAATATCGCCGATAATAAAACCCATCAAAAATTATTAACAACCGACAATGCACAGTCTTCAGAAATTCGTGTATAAAACTATTAAATCAATTGAAAATTAAACACAATAAATGCATTTCTATGTGAAATTGACAAAAGGGCAATTATCAGTAAAAAAGACAAAAGAAGGCAAAAATAATATTAAATAATACAAAAATATCATCTTACAAAATTATTTCTCTATTATTATTATTATTATTATTAAAAAAAGGCTTTTGCCTTCAATTCCGAACCTTATTTATAATATTATTGCTGTTTATGTTATGTATACTAACAGTAGGTTAAATTTATTTCGACGAAAAGACGAAAAGATTTCATTTGTTATAGTTTCTCTAAAATTTATCCACAGATGATATTTTTAAATTATAACAAAATAATAAATAAAATTGTCTTTTTTTGTTTAAAATCAAAATATATAATTTTTTCCAAATATGAACTTCAAGTATCTATAAAAAAAACTGAGGTAATAAATTTTTTAGTGATTTGGGTTAAAATACCAACTATATCTACTTATGAAATCCATGTTTTCAATCTTTTTATCATTTTTTACTACAAAATAATTTGCAGTTTTTCGTGATTTTGATGAATTTTGTCAACATTTAATTTATAAATGCTTATTAAAAAAAAATTTGCCCGCGTATCTTTAATATTTTTGATATGCATTCATTTGTTCAAGTTTTAGACACAGCGAAAACATTTTTCGTCGACAACAATTAAAAAGGTGCTCTGCTGTACAGTACAGTGGCGTATATATAACTTTTGTATGGGGGGGGGGGATCAGTTGCAAACAAATTAT